CTGGGAGACCGAAGATCTGTGTGAAATGTAAGGTAAGGTAAAGGTAAAGCTATCCCTGTAACAGGCCGTGCAGGCCAATGAGGTTGTGAGACATCGAGGCACCCACATCTTCTAGACAATCGGCTCACTGATGGCTGTGAGATTGTTAGCACATACGCTCTTTACTTGCGTTGTGTACGTCTGAAATTGGATATAAATAGTGAAATAGGAACTTTAGGACGAGATCACCACAATATTCTTATGGAGGAACAGAGTGAAATCGCCAAAAACAATGATCAGAACAGCGGTTTCCTGGCGGGGTTCGAACTCGCTGACCGTCTGGTACAAGTCAGACCCTTTTAGACCTGGTAGTGAGGTTGTTAGCAGGTTTGTACGTCCTTGGTTTCTTTACAGTGCAGCAAGCTTAGATGCTAACTGGCAAGTTGTATTGTCAGTAGACTGCTATATGACATGCTTGTACAGGCCATGGGTGGGTACTAAATTCAGAGAGGAGCTCCCGAGAAAAACTTGTGCAACCGGTTTATCACAGAAATACGCCACGTCACTTGTCAAGACAGGGGTGGGGAGCCAGTTCGGTTTATGGCATTGTTTAAACGTTATTGACGCTGTTCTTTATGTATCTTCATGTATCTTCTCTGGTGTAGCGACTGGCGACGGGATGGACGACTGAGGGGTCGGAGTTCGAGTCCCGGTATGGGAAAGATCTTTCTTCTTCACGTCAAGACCGGTTCCGGGGCCCTCCCAGTCTCGTATCCAGAGGGTACCGGGGGTGAAGCGACCTGGGAGTGAAGCTGACCACTCATCTGTAACTAGTGCCGAGGTTAAGAATACGTGGATCCACACATCCACTCTCTCATACGTCTTCATGGCGTAATGCTTAATTAGTTAAGCACGGGGATAACTACCTTTTATGTATCTTCTTGTATGGTACGACAGGCCATTGCGGTCTAAGGCCTCTCGTTTTCCGGATTTCTGATTCTTGCTTATAGACATTTGGTAGTACTCCTCGGACGGCACGTCTCAAGGCCCCTCCCTACACTATCTGTCTGTCTACCTATCTATCTCTCTATCTATCTAATCAATTAATCAGTGTCTCTGCAACCCCTTGTTGGACCTTGGCCTCTTGTTCAGTTTCTTAATCCTGTACACAGTCGGTAGGACTCCTTGGACGGTGGATCAGCCTGTAGCAAGGCCGCTATCTATGCAGGACAACGCAAACACAGAATAAACGCACACAGACATCTATACCTTGAGTGGGATTATTCGAACCCACGATCCCAGTGTTCTAGCGAGCAAAGACTGTTCATGCCTTAGAACCCGAGGCCACCGTGATCGATCCCTACCTACACAGGACAACACAAACACCCAAACATACATACGTCAATATCGCGAATGAAACTGGGATCCACGATCTCAGTGCTCGAAAACACGTTTTAGACTGGCACCCACCCGGATCATGCTTCTTATGTGCAATGTGTGGACAGTACTGAGATGCTTGTAAGATTTGTTGAATGTCCACCCCTTTGGCCTAAAAATAGACGTGTACGCAATTCTGGGATTTCTCCGTATAGCACATGTGTTTTACCCGAGAATAAGACTATTATGACTGATTCGAGGATTATTGTTGTTTGAACTTCGCGTTACGTTGGCATGTTCAGAGGAGAAGATGAGGTAATATCAGTGGGTTGCTTAATACAGGACATGATTCCACTGTAACTGAGCGCACTTGAGTCATGTAACTACTCAGTTACATGTCATGTCATTCTTTTTATCACAAAAGGTGACACAATGTCGATATGAAATTGTTTTATTTATTTTAGACATTTTAAAGGAGAGATTGTTGTATTATGGGACGTCACGACATGTAGTTTGGTAGGTAGGAACCTTCTTCCATCTTCACTCTTTTTCCCTGAAAATGGAGGCAACAGGTTCCCACGAAACATTTGCAACCATCTAACAACACGGCGTCATATTTCGGTAGATGGTCTGCATAGTTACCGCTGTGAGAACTTGATCACACCACCACTGATTAAGCCCTTAGCATTTTGCTGTTACACTGAGCAGATTTGCTCAGGGATAACTTTTATTCCATGTCAGAGTTATTCAGAATATGTGCATCAGGTTGAAAATATATTGTGACATGTAAGTCAATTGCTAGGTAACGGCTTGTTGAAACTCGTATCGGAGGTTATGACAGAGACATCGATTAATAGGCAACACATACAGAAACGTTTCCATTGCAATGGATAGGTAAAGGTTGTTCACACAACAACGAAAGACAGATGTACAAAGTAAGGAACTCTTGGAGACTATGATCTGTATACAATTCGACCAAAAACCTACCTCAGGGGGAGAGAGATCCTGGAGACTACTGGAGAGTCCTATTGAGTAATAGAGGCCCAGTCTGAGAACAAGACAGAGGAGAAGGGATTGGGTACAGACTTGTTCACCGAATTCATACAAGGAGTATCTAAGAGTGAAGTGTTGAACATTTTCTGTTTTATTGTTCTAGTAACCTTTTAAAGTGTTATAAGTATTTGTAGATCTACCTGGTGATTGTCCAATAAATCGATTTCATCAATCCAGAGAACCCATTATTAACTTGCCACTTTACTGGGATACATGACAATATTAAGAAAATACTAACGAGTTTATAAAATAAAACGAAATTAAGTAAAACAGTTTCAAATTTAAATGTGACTGATGTTTTGGATAACATACAAAGCTTCCATGATAGTGGATATGACACACCAACTCACAGATGTAAAATGTAGGCAGATGGGCAAAGTTATAAGCTAAATGAAGAAAACCTACTGAGAAGGAAGAAGATTTTCTGTACAGATTGTAATGAGTACCAACGTTTTGGAGGACTATACTGCCTCCACCAATAGGGTTCAACCCTGAGGAAATAAACAGTGTGTTCCTCCAGAATATTAGTACCCACCTACCAGACTGCATGTTCTTGTAACTCAGAAGACAACAGTATGAAAATATAGCAAAAATTTTAGGTCTTTGTCTATGTTATTTTCAGGTAAACTGATAGCTGTAAAATATGTTCATGTAATTAACATGATATGACGAATTTTCAACTTTTTTATCTACAAGTTCATGAACAGACAAAACAGATTATTTATTGGGCTGGTGTCATGGTAACTGGGGCCAGCTCTTATCAGTAACAGTTAACTACTGAGCCATGAACTTAAATAATCAGTTTTTATTTATGAAATTATTTGTGCCCTGCAAAGTTTTCACTGTCATCTCAATTGAAAATATATACTTTGATAACCCAAAAGTTGAGGATCGCTGCTTTTAGCTCAAGTGTATAGAATTCTGTAAGTATTTTTTGTATGGCTTTCAGATGAGCAAACGAAAACCCCCGCAGATGAGTAGAATCACCCATCTGAAAGCCAACATCAGGAAAGAAAATAATTTGTGAACACACTTGTTTGAATTTTGTTTGTAGTTTCTTAACAATGTTATCAGTAACGTGGACTGTTCAGTTTCAAGTGATTGGACAATAATGAATTGGAAGGAATGTTGAAGGAAGTTATTATGTCCTGATTTAAGGTACTAGCCCGAATCTTCTGTCTGGAGGGACTGAGGAAAATAGCAAAAAAATTCTGCCAGTCATCTTGGCTGGGATTTGAGTCGAGTACCTCCCAACATATGTTAGAAGCATCAGTGGTCAAGCCAGCTTACTCATTTTGTCGCGATATGGCATCATTTCTGATTTATTTAATTTATTCTTATATTCAAGTAGGTCCAATTACAGGGCAAGAAACAAGTTGTCACACCACTGGATATAGAATGTGTCAAAAATCAAAACAAATGTTCCAGCCAATCACTGGAACAAGTCAAAATAACATAATATAAAACATAGACAACACAGTCATTAAACATAATAAAATGTGACTACAACAAGACTTAAATACTAGATGAAAACATATTAACACATTTTTCTGTGTTGTATAAAAGTATACCTTCATAGCAAATAGTCATTTGTTTTAGTGGGTTGTTCCTGTTCTCTGAATGTTGAATTCCAGTTGTAGTTAATATTCGCCATGCAATGTGAATTAACTTAAAATTATATGGGAGATATTTTCTTTTCAAAATAGGCATCTAGGGGACATACATATAGACAAGTTGTAAAATCGTATCCAATTTCAATGATCAGAGACCAACAGATTTTCCCAAATTGCCCCTTGATACGTACCAATGTGTATTATGATTCCAATGTAATCTTATAAAACCATTTGAATTCACATCTGAAATGAAGATCGTAAGACATATGAGTAAACTGTCTGCATTAATTTCAAGGATGTTCAGCATAAAATGAACATATTAATTGTGGAGTGTCATTTCACTTTCACTTTCAGTTTATTTTAAATTCCATAAATCCTTTCAGGTCATGCATGCCATAGAATATAGAACATGTCAAAATACATACACCTACATAAAAACAATGGACCCATCAACATGCAATACAGTCACAATACAAAATTTGTACATAAGATATTAAAATATGATCAGATGTATGCAGATATATGATTATCGTTGTTACAATTATAAATTAATACAAAAGACTTATTCATAATATAAAAGTTTGATACAGTTATCTCCATCACACAACTACAAATACTTAATTTAACAGTCCAAATATAATACGTTTCATCAGGATTTAAAAATTATGATATATAATAAAAATTCAATTTATTCAATCAGTCATTTCATAGTAAAAACCTTAAAATTTGAAAACCATTAATTAACATATTCCTCTGCGTGATAAAAGGAAATTAGCTGTAAGTAAACTATTCATGACAATCTTAATTGTTTACTGTCATGTGTTATTTGAAACAGATGGTCTATTACAATACCATGCTTCCATAAAATTAATACCCTTAAATGCCCAGCAACTAGCCAGTGGGTAATACATCATGTGGAAATCAACCTAACAAACAATTCAAGAGAATATCTGGATTACAAAGTCTTTTTCCTTTCAGCACTTGTTGGATCCCTTGCAATTGGATCAACATTTTTCTTCTCTCCTCTTGCTGGGATCATCACAGATAAAATTGGAATCAGATGGACAACATTTGTTGGTGGTGCACTGGCTTCAGGGGGCATGCTACTCTCGTCTTTTTCCAATTCAGTAGGTACAGAGATATGACTTGCACAGTTATTTTTTTAATCTCGAGATTTATATTTCAGGCTTTACTGAATGCCCTCCTTGAACTTATATTTTAGTGATAAGTCAATAATAAGTTACTGATAGTGCTTCATCAAGTTATTTACTTAATTGTAAGTCAACAGCAACAGATTTATATGTGCATTTTGTTGATGTCAAAACAAGCACAATAAATGATTTATCTCACCCTACATATTTGAGCTATTCTGCCATGCTTAGGAGTGCCCTCCAATTTTAAAAGATATTAAAAAGTTTTACATTTCACTGTATATCGCCAATCTTGAAAGTATGACTCTTAATTGCAGGTGTTCTCTGCTCTTCTGATAGATACATTCTGTTTATTGCATTTTACTATTTTAAATGTGAAGTGTAACAATGTTTAATGCTTTTTAAAATTGGTGGTGTAATAAACAGTGAATTGTAAAACTTATTTTAATGGCCTTCAGAATTTGAGGACGGCCCTGAGAATGGTCGTATAATCGAAACATGTAACATGGAATCAGTCAGTTATTTCTAATTTTGCGTGTTATATTTTATGGTTTCTTATTAAATTGTGTATGGTAATGAACCTTTAGGTTCTGTAAAATTTGGGGAATTTCTTGAGTAGCTGACTGACTATTGACATTTTTGGAAGGTTCAGTCCCAGGTCAGCTTGGTTTTATTTTTGAGTATTTCAGTTTCCCATTGTCATTCAAACAATATAAATTACATTCGTTTTTCGAAAATCGGAAGCACAGTATATTGTGTGTGTGTGCACTTGCGCATGTGCATACATAATTACAAACAATAAGAAATTCTGTCTCAAATAGGATTCAATCCTGTGATCATCTACACCGCAGATGCAGTGCATTTTATTATAGAATCTGGAGCTTTCAAGGTACCTAAAATTAATAAAATATTCTTTGGCTGTCAACCATGTCAGTTGGCTAAAGACGATCTTCATTGGTTGCATCCTGTTGTGTGTTCCAGATATATATATATTGTAACGTGTTTTGCCGCTGAAGACGCCGTTCAGATTGTTAGTTGGTTTATTTAACAACCTACAAATCTTGGCTACAATTAATTATAACACTGTTGCGGGTTTTCACAGTCTACAAACCCTATGCACTATTCAGTTCACTCTGTCCTCAGTAGTCTTCACGTATTAATAACGTGGGAGCTATACAAGTGTCACTTAATTACTCACTCCCAATACCTTCTCAATTACCACACACTATCATATAAGATCTTCTAACCACGTGTTCGGGTCTTCTTTCCACGACTACTGCTATATTTCAACTGTCTTCGGCGGCTGCTACATTTTAACTGACTCCTTAGACAAAGTCAAAGTCACATTGCGACTGACGGTCAGTCAGTCAGTAAGTCTTGGTGTCGAGCCCCAATGGGGCTCATGACCAGATATTATTTATTACCGTTTGACAGTTACGGTCTTGTTTCTGTGGGGTGCCTTCTCCGACGAGAGGATGGGTCTGTCTTTTGTATATGCTGCTGGCCCTTGCTAGCGCAGTCTTACTTGGGTCCCACCTCCTCTGAATAATAATAATATACTATCATAATTTCTTTTGCCTCAAGTTGGTGTTACAATTAAAGTAGAAGATACAAAATAAAATAAAAGATAAAAGGTAAATATAAAGAGTATACCATATTATAATATATATAAATTATGCCATATAATGTGTTAAATATATTATGGAATATGAAAATATACAACCGAAACATGCATATAAAGATCGAATTGTATTAATTGTAATTAAAACTGAGTATATTTGTTATGTTGAAGGTTAACATAATTCCTGTATATCTGGTTAAAAACTGATGTTTCACAGACCATCTCTGTCCTTGTCATCGGGGTCTGACATATGATACATACTGTTGTTTCATTATATATTTTCACCTTGTAAATATAAATTATAAGTGCTTTCCTACAACAAATTATTGTAACTTTTATCCTCTATTTGCAGGTGGAGTTTCTGTACCTGACATATGGAATTCTCTTTGGTGTTGGTGCCTCACTGGCATACACACCATCTCTTGTGATTCTGGGACACTACTTCAAGAGATACTTGGGGGTGGTGAATGGATTTGTAACGGCAGGAAGCTCTGTTTTCACAATTATCATGCCATATGCCTTGGCATTTCTGCTCAAGAAACTGAGACTAGAGGCCACTATGATGTGCATGTCAGCTCTGATAGCGCTTATCATGGCCTGTGCTCTGTTGTTCAAACCCTTACCAGGAGGTAGTACTCCCCCACCACCAGATCACTCAACTAGACTTTATAAACACAGTGTTTGGAGACGTGTAATAAGTGTCATCAATGTCGATATATGGAAGAAGAAGAAGTATGTTATCTGGACTCTTGCAGTACCTTCAGCACTGTTTGGATATTTTGTGCCATATGTACACATGGTGAGTTATCTACAGTATGTTTATAAATCAGTTGATAAATTTTGTACAATACTTTAATTTAAAAATAACCCTGAATTATAAATCAGAGTTATATTAAAACTGAAATAGTGACAAATGACATTCAGGTTGTATAAGAGGTGGGTGCTGGCAGCTGAGCGATTTGAGATTCACACAAGAGGCCTTGTTTTCATGGAGTTAATATTTTTGCTAGTTATTAGTTAGAAAATAAGGGTAATGGAAATCAACTGGAAGCCATCAATTTTGTGGGCACGCGGTAGCGTAGTTGGTGGAGGCACTATCCTGCAAGCCAGAAGGTCTAGGGGTCGAGCCCCGATGAGATTGATTTTTCAGTTTACTTAATCCTTCCAGCCGCACTACAGCCCTGGGGTCGACTGAGCCTCTAATAGAAATGAGTACCAGGAATCTTCCTGGGGGATAAAGGCCAGCTGGCACATAAGACTGACCTCACCACCATCTGTGAGCCAATTGTCTAGAAAAAATGTGGGAGCCTTCAGCCTTCACCGCCTGTTACAGAGATAGCTTTTTTACACATTAACTACATTATGAACTTTCATAATTGCAAATTTTATTGTTGGATGTTAAAACTTCTTTAGCAGAATGATAGACTTGCATGAAATTCATACACAGTTGAGTCAGTCATCAACATTTGCCACCTTATTATTTGGAAATTGCTCCATAAATGCACTGTTGAAGTCTTTAAGTGATATTGAACAATAAAAACAGTTTGCTCCATTAGTATATGCCATTTTTGGTAACCTTAAGTTATCTGCTTGTTAAGCTTCCATGCCTCCTTTCTTCACTTTACTTTGTACATGAAAGTAGATGCAACTGTTTACAGATTGTGTTTACTGGATCATTTCGCACATTACACTTTCATTTCATACCAAACAACTGTGATAAAGCATTGAAGAGACATCATGGTAAAGTGCGTACAGCTCCTGATTCATATTCAGGAGTTCCTGGCTATCAGACTACCTTGGCTGAGATTTTCATTGTTTTCCTCATTCCTAGTGGGCAGATGCCAGGATAGTACTTCAAATTAGAGCATGATCACTTCTCTCTACATCCTGTCCAAGTCATTGTTCACTGGTCATCCTGCCACTTGGTGCTACTGACTGTGTCATTAAGTAATCCACAAATAAATATGCAATGAGCATTTGATTTAAATTCATAAGAACATCTGTTGCATGTCTCCAAAGTGTAAGTATTTGGTAGAGAACTGTACTTATTTATGGTTTATTTAATGCTGCTATCAGAATCTCATACTGTATACCATTAGTATTTTTGGTAATATCAGTGACAACAAGAAAATGAGGTTAAAGCAGGATATGCATATAACTTGTTAGCTTTTTTAAAATTGTAACTTGGAACCAGACTGGAAATCTTCACACTTATATTATGATTTTGATGTTAGATAATGTACCTGAGAAACCATTACATGAAATATTTACTTACATACAGCTGTTGTATACAGCTGACATTATTTCATATGAAACTGTAAACAGGAAACTGATTTTCAAACTGGTACTTTAAAGGAACTTTGTCAGTCAATTTATAATATGGTGTATTTTAACTTTCAAAATAAAAAAAAAATGTTACAAATTTATTTGTGTTTATATTAATGGGACATTTTTTATTGATGTGAAACCAAAACGTTAAACAATGTTGTGTATTGTAAACAGTTGAAGATGGTTGAAGATAATTTCAAGAATGGAGATGGAAAGGTTCTTGTCATGTGTCTAGGCATCACGTCAGGCCTAGGAAGATTGATATTTGGAAAAATTGCAGACATTCCTAAAGTGAACAGGATATTTTTACAGCAGGTAGGTGCAATGCAAATGTACAAGTGATACATGAAAATGAAGTTATAAATTATAATACGTCATCATATCCATCCAGTGTGATTGATAAATGTTTTTTCTCCTTTTTAATCTTTCATCCTTGACATGTTTCGGTCTAAATATTAGCAAAGTTTTTTAAACCACACTTGTAAATAAACTAATTATAATAATTTATAAATATTTTAATATATTCATGCATATCACTGTAGTTGTTAGGGGCTCAGATTTTATATTGATGACATTGTAATCATATTGTTTATATGTATTGATATTGTCATGTGTTGGGTGTATACGCGACAAATAACTTCACACCGTATTTGATATAGCGAATTTTATTTCACATTCGCTCTTACAATCACACAAATTACAATCTGACAATTACTGCCATCAGCATTATCACAAATACTTCACTGCAAATGCTGGTTGACTGCCTGGCTAACTCGTAACTCGAGAACTTGAGAACTTGAGAGCTAATTGTGAATAGTCTTCGCTGCTCCTTATTTAGCCTCATTCTGGACAACACAGAAAGCAGCCACGTAATAGGCATCACTGTTGTCTGGCACTGTGTTGCTAGCAATGCTGTCTGGAGTTGTTTACTGCTATGTAGCAACAGTGGCATCCCATGTTACGTCACTGCGGGGAGAGGCGGGGTGTTGACTGGTTTATTACTGTAGCAACGGCAACACTCCGAAAGTGTTAGGTCACCGCTGGTGGGGTGAGGGGTTGTCCTCCATTGCGCAACATGTCACAATATTGACCAATCACATTGTAATAGTAGTTTCTGCTTGTATTGATATATCCTTCTGAAGATGGTCTCTCAGACCGAAACCTGTCAAGGATGAAAGATTAAAAAAAAACATTTATCAATCACACTGGATGGAGCTGATAATCTTTTATAATATTGCTAGTGTAACAGACCTGGATGAACCAGATCAAATTTATTGAAGTTATAAATGCTAGAATCTAGGAACATGGACAAATGGAGAAAGGTGTTCAAACAGCAGCCCCTTTTCTTCATACTTATTACAACACCACTTTCGTATCTTTCTGTCACTAGGGGCATATTGTAGAGTTGTTAGTAGAGATATCTGAGTTTGCACGGTGACTGGACTATGGTCTGAACAACTGAGGAATCGAGGTTCAATAACTTGCAGGGGTAAGAGATTTTTCTCTTCACCACGGTGCCCAGACCAGCTCTGGGGTCAACTCAGCCTCATGTGTACTGGGTATCGGGGATTTTCTCCTGGGGTTAAAGTGGCTGAGGCATGAAGCTGAACACTCGCTAATGTTCTATTTTTTCATTTCTCACAAAGGTAAAACATTAAAATGTAGGGTATTTGAGACCCTCATCATGTTGAAGAATAGTATGTCTTGGCATTGTTCACAGCCCCTAAGCACCAAGCATGTTTGCCGAAGTGGTACTGCTTCTGACTTGTATTCATGAGGTGCCCAGTTCAATTCTCAGTACTTTACATTAGGCCATGGCTGCTTCCTTCCCCATCCTTTCCACTTTATTACTTGCTGTCATCCATTCATTTAATGCTATAAAATTATAGACAGTATCATTAAGTAAACTAGAATTAAAAAATGAACAAATTAAAGATAGTGAACCCAACCTCATAGGTGCCTCCACCTCAGAAATGCACTTTCTTTGGTGTTACTGAGTTTGACTTGGTGCATTAGCCACTAAATGGCAGTAACCTGTTTTAACCATTTCAGCAACTACATATAGATGCTTCTGCTTTTGATGTTTCAGGTATCTTTCATCTCAATTGGAGTGCTAACTATGCTGTTGACTATAACAAACAGTTTTGAACTCCTAATTGTGATATCACTATTTATGGGGCTGTTTGATGGCTGCTTTATTAGCCTTCTTGGCCCAATCGCATTTGAAATCTGTGGCCAGAAAGGAGCAACTCAAGCAATCGGTTTTCTGCTTGGTTTATGCTCTATTCCTCTAACAGTGGGACCACCAATAGCAGGTAAGATTTGTTATACTAACCTGTGTGTCTCTCATGCAGGAATTATGTACATCCTGTATTTCAGCATCCTGTTGCAATTGTTCAAATTAGCTTCCATTGTTTATCTTCTGCCAAGATTGCAACACTTTCACATTCTACACTTCAACATTACATGTTTCGGCCTCAAACGGCCATCTTCAGGTTTTTATGTTACAGACATTTTTCTAAAACTGTGTTAAAAACTGCTACACTGTTTTAATTCATGTTAAAATCACATGCTGTAGTTTTCTTAAGTAAAACGAGATAAAATTCTTTAAAATTTCTGTTGCATATTATTTCACCTCACCTGGGGTGTCATTTTTGTAAATGTATCGAGGTGTTTTTCTCGGCAGCTTTCCAGTCAAATGGTAGATGGCAGTGAAAAACTGAAAGTAGACCATGAACATGAGGGGCAAGCTGCCGAGAAAAACACCTTAATACATTTATGAAAATGACGACACCCCGGTTGAGGTGAAATAATATGCAACAGGAATTTTAAAGGATTTTGTCTTGTTTTACTTAAGAAGACTACAGTGTGTGATTTTAACATGAATTAAAACAGTGTAACAGTTTTTAACACAGTTCTAGAAAAATATCTGTGACATAAAAACACCTGAAGATGTACTACTTTCTTTAACACTGACGAACATATTTAGTGTATTTATGGACTTTACATGTATCTCAATGTATACGATGATTATTTCCCTAAACAGCATTAACATCTGTGAATTGGAAGCTCATTGTGTTTTCTTGTGAAGTAGGAACTGAATTTAAAAATTATTTATATGATAATTCAGCTTTGAAGTGGTAAGAATAGTTTACTTTTACTAGTGGTATTTAACAGTGTGTTGTACTTGCACATTTTTTCCTAAAACACTGAAAAAGTTCAGTGACCACCAGCATTTAATGTTTCATTGTGGCTCAAAGATTTGAACATTAAATTGATGAAAATCTTAAATGGAGGAAATTTAAAGTTGATATCTGACTTGGGATCGTTGAAATTGAATGTAAGATAAGACAAAACTTTAAATCAAAGAACGTGAAAATGGGGTTCCACTGTATAAATTTCTTCTTGTTTTTTCTTGCAAGGTTTAGGCCCTTTAGACCTGTTCTGTGGTTACACAAACTGTCCATGTGATCTCATTCATGATAGTGCTGTAATGACATCTAAGGCCAGTTTTATAGCTTCCTAGATTACCACTTTGTAGTGGCTCTGTTTCACTTTTGTATACTTGTTTTGTGTGTAATGTCATTATGTAGTGCTGTATTTAGTAAAGGAACAGCCAGCATAGGTTTTGATGAATGTTAATAATGGCCATGGTTCAGTTAATCCCAAATTTTACATGAGGTCTTTGACTGAGAGCTAGTTTGGCCATAATTAAAAGTAATAATTTCTTTGATTTAAAAAAATGTCTTTGTTTACAGTGTTCAGTGAAACTCCACCTTAATCATAGGTACCATCATTATTAAAAGTACTAATTTACATTTTAATAATTTCAGGATTGATATACGACCATACAAAATCCTACACACTTCCATTCCTACTAGCAGGAATTCCGCCTATTGTAGGGGCCCTCATGCTCTTCCTGATACGTTGCGTTCCAGAGAAAGATAACTGTAAAAGATATCCATCACTGTGTGTAGTGGAATCACCTCTGCATGACCCAACTATTACACCACTTCAGAATGATGTCGGAAATGGTGATGAAGGTACAAAACTCTCTCCTCTTACAAATGGAGTTTGCAGCAAGTCTGCATCACCACCTCCGAGCTACAAGGAAGCTATGGCAGGTATGTTGGTCCAGATTCTCTCCAGCTCTGCCACCACCCCTCGTCACATCCCTGAATGCCGCCGTTTGCTGGCCCAGGAGCGACTTTCCTATTCTCTCAGCTGCTACCTCAATAGCAAGCAGCGATGCTACAGCTATTCTGTATTGTAGATCCTGCTCTAAGGCTGTGATATAAATGTAGTAATGTCTGTGTACTTTTAATTAGGGCTGTGCCACTAAATGATTTAACAATCACCCATTTAATAATTTGTCTGCTGACTCCTCATTATAATAGTAATTTAGTGTTATATGATACATTTATAGGTAACAGATAATGTAAATATTTTTTTTTAATTTATAATAAACATTTATCTCAGCAGTTTAGTGTAGACCTTACCGGAGGACTAAAGAAAAATATGATTAAACCTAGATTTTTTTTTCCCTTGGCACTACAGCCCCAGTGGGCCTACGCCTACCCCCATGAACTTCTCTGTTAAACCCAGATATAGCCACTATAAATTGCTGGCATCTTCAGGAATTATTTGATCCATTGATGAGCAATTCTTTGCCACATTTGGGTTGTGACCTTTGAGATCTGGAAACTAAACAATTAGACTCTATCAGCCTTTAATGAGTGTAAAAACCTTGACCTTCTCACTTCATATCCACACTCTGTTTCATTTATGTTTAGATATGCTGGAAACCATTTTCTGAGAGTTTTGTCAGTATTGTCGTTACATTGCTCTAATTACATTTGTGATTCAGAATTAATCACTTTCAAGATTTTTAGTTCCAAAAAGTTGAAAAATCATATACAATCAAATCAAATGAGTGTAATGGATATTTCTATATTGATGCAAGTTTTGTGATGCCATTTAGCTGAATTGAAAGTGACGTCTGGGAAAGCAAAATGTCATGATGCCAAAGATTTGGCCCTTTTTATGCTTCTGGTACATTCCAAGACTTGAAGATAGAATGCTTACTTTTCTATTTATGTTTTAGGAACAGTTTTGTAGGGGATAATTTCTGTGGTATCAGAAAAGCAAATTAGGATGTCTCTGACCTTTGATTTCGATATTCATGCTCTATTATTAGTCTCAGTAGGGCTTCCCCATTTGATTCTGGAACATACCAGAACCCCAGATCGCATCATCAGCTACTGTTTTCTCCAGTCATGATGAGAGATCTGCGAAAAATGTTTCCTCTTCATTTCTACTCAGATTTGAGATTTTGCACTTAGCATAGCTTGTCCTTGTGTTCAGGTCAGTAGTAAAAAAAATCAGTCCCACAGTTTCTCTTCATATTCAGTGCTGAAATCATCCAAGCAGTAAATCAGCAATAATTTCTCACAATTTCAGTCACAATTATACACTTACAGTAGTTCATACAGAACACATGTAGAGAGAGCTGTGTGCTACCTCTGTAATATCTAAGCTACATATATTGTTTCTACAAGCATATGAACATATTCCATTTATCTGACTGCTATATAGGGCAAGTGGTAGCGTAGTTGGTTGAGGCACTATGCTACAAGCCGGAAGGTCACGGGTTCAAATCCTGATGAGGTCATTGTATTTTTCTCAATTGAACTAATCCTTCTGGCTGCACTATGGCCCTGGGGTTGACTCAGCCTGTAACAGAAATGAGTACCAGGAATTAATTAAATAATTTTCCTGTGCAGTAAAGCGCGGCCGGCGCGTAAGGCTGACAACCACCTTACCACCATCTTTGAGCCGATTGTCTAGATAATGTGGGACCTTCAACATCTCACAACCCTATGGGCTTTCACGGCCTGTTACAGGGATAGCTGTACTTTATTTACTTTACTGACTGCTGTATGATCAGGCAGATACATGGGGTTCAGTATGAAAGTTTTAAGAAAGACTTTGTATTTCTGCAGAGTCCTAATAATATGTTATATAAGGTCTGTGGTAACACAAAGTTATCTGTTTGCATAATTAAGCACAATGCCTTTAAACATTGTACGGAGACTGAAGAGACAATGGCCATCCGACCTTCCGAAAAGACAAAATTAGGTTAAGCAATAAAGTCTAGCATCAGTTGTGTTTAAGATCATCGACGATGGTTGGTTCTCTACTCACGTTCCTACTTTTAACCACTTTACTTATTGCTCCTTGCTGTAGTGAGTAGATTGTAAATTCGCAGAGAAATAAAAAAAATACCTTTAAGATTATGGATGAATGGAGCTATAGCTCCACATATACTTACCCATGGCACTACGTAGAGGTAAGTGGTTTGCTTCATGCTTCATCCAGTTTACCTCATTGGAAAGAGCCTCCAGTTTCAATTGGATAGGAGTCTGGAAAGTTCCCAGAGCTGGTCTGGGTGCTGCAGAGAAGAAAAAACTCTCACCTCTGCTTGGCAAGAAACCTTGATACCTGTCATCCAGCCAGTATGGCAGTTGCTATACTGGCTGAGATATCCCAGCTCCCTGTAGCATCTATGAGTTAACACAATTAAATACTCCCATTGCTGACATTTCAGTCAAGACATGGCACTGCCATAAAGTTGTCTGGAATTAGTGGAACTTAATGAAGTTATGTAATAATACAGTAATAGAGTGAAAATTATGTGAATTTTGATTTTCTGGCCTCAAAGTTTATGTGGTTCCTTTATATATATATATACATGTGACTTTTAAGCATGTTGGTGTAGGGTATCTGTTGCTTCCAGCCAGAGAGGTATGTACCATACTTACTTGAATATAATGCATACTTTCCTCCTCCAGATACTTCATGAAAACTTCACTGCCCACTGTATTAAGGAATGACATTTTCTGTTTTAACTTGCACCAAATTGCTAACAGAATCCAACATTCATATTCTTCTTTATTATGACAATATATATTAATAATCTGAAAATGGAGGCAGTGTGTCTGAAAAGTTTGTAACCACCTATGGACTACACGGTATTATAACCCAAAAGACCACAGTATGAATACTTACTGCCATGAAAACCTCAGATCACCTTAAGGGCTAATGTGTGCAGATACAATCGCTTTTTAAGTGGGTATTTTTAGGGGATAAAAGTACACATGTATTATATTCAGACAAATACATTGATTTGGTTTGGCTTTATATTTCAAGAACTGGTTTCAGTGCATGGAGTACTGCATATTTGTTTCCTTAAAAGTATTTTGTGGTACGATAACCTCTTTTGAAAGACTGTCCTACCACTCCTTGCCTTCTATGTTGTATTATAAATAACACAGTAGGTGCACTTTTCTACTTACTTACTTACTTACTTACTTACTTACTTACTTACTTTTCACTTCACTCCCGAATCCTGTTCTTGATTTTGTACCGTTCTTTCTTTTGTAGGCCTGTTAACAGCTTAAAAAAATGTTGTATTAAGTTATGTGTTATTAATGTTACAACACTATGCATGCAAGTTGATGTATGAATATTCATTGTCTTGAAGGCAAGGTATAAGAAGTAACTTCTCAGATTAGAGAATCTAATATAATGAATGTCTGTGAATACCATGCAAGTGTTTAGTAAATGTTGAATGCTGGAATTTTATACAATGAAATGTGATATCAACTACCAAAGCTCAGTTTAAACAAATGTTTATGTGCTTCATATTTGTAATTTAAATATTATTGATTTACAACTAAATTTTATATCATTGTTATATCATGTTATGTTTTTACCTGTGCCAAAAATAGATGTAATTTTTATCATAATTATTATGTAGTCATATTTGTGATTATAGTATGCTGTGAGATTTCCATGGTGCTTTTACTGGGTTTTCTTTTAAACTCAGTTTCATTATTTGGCTGTTTTGGGAGGAGGGGGGTGGGGGAGGGTTCGGACCGTTAGTTCAATCCATATATGATTAAAATTCATTGAATTTTCCACTATAAACTAATCCATGGTTCACAGTACTGAACTGTTTTGTAGTTAAGAAGGAATCACTTATTTCAGAAAGGTTTCAGAAGTTATTGAAATAGTGAAGTTAATACATTTCAAACAATGGGAAAACATTGCCAATTTAATTATTTATGAAGGAATCATCTTACATAATGCCCACATACTTCTTGGTATATAAAAATTTAGTAATTCAAAAAGTGTGATGCATTTAGCAGTACTATTTATGAAACAATGTAAGTGAAAAGAGTTTCTCTCATATAAGAGACAATGTGTGCACCATTAGCAGGAACAGAATGTTGAAATGATGCTTCATTTCTTGCCAGAAGAAAACACCACAGATCCAAAGAAGCTAAGCATATGATGTTGGGTGAGAGTGGTAGCCACTGTGTTAGTCCACCACAACCAGTCCAACAATTTTAACCAATATGATTTTAGATTTTGTTTCTTAATGTGTTTCTCTCCTTTTTTTTTTTTTTAATGTAAATACATTCTGCCCTGGTATCAAATTGTAAGGTCCTTTCTTTAAAAAAAATGAAAATAGAGGGCGTCCAAAGGTCATACTTTGCCCAGGACCCACCATTACCTTAAGGTGGTCATGGCTCTGAGTGCAGGCCACCATCTTCACGTTTCCCTTTCATTTGCTGACCATCATGCCCTTTTGTACATAGCATATACACAATATACTAATGATAAATAAGAAGAGACAGAGAGAGAGAATGAAGGAACCTTGGAAAGAGGGCAAATTATAGAGGGTACTGCATTAATTCAAGTGCACATTCACCATTGTATCTGCCATTAATATGTAGGTAGTTCCTAGGATTTGACAACTGTGCTATGAATAACATGAAACTTTTCAATTTGAGAAATTGAAATTGTCTTGTAACTAGCAGTTATCAGATTATGGTTTTCTGGGTTGTTAAAACATGTAATGTTGTAGGTGGATACAAATGTTCCAGAAGAACATGCTGCCTCCCTCTTCGAGGTTGCTTTGAGGGTGAAAGTAGCATGTTCCTCCGAAATTCTGCATGGTATCACAACCCAGAAGACCTTAGTCAGATCACTCACTACCATGAAGATCTCAAAATAACAGTGCAATCAGGAATAAAGCTATGGTGTTACATATTTATAAGATAGAATATGAATTGTAATATAGTGAGGTAGGTTTGAGCAGTTACAAGCATCAGTAGGTCAGACACAGTATTTGGAGGCATTCTTTGTGTATGAGGTTATATCCTGAAGAATACTCTACTTCAGATAAATAAAACATGAGAAAAATTAAATTTGTAAATGAACATTAGCAATGCTCTAACCAGTCAGTGGAGATCTGTTAATTAAGTATCTCAATGAATAAGTTGAGGAGAATGTAAAACGATCTGTATTTGAATAAAATATAATTTTTTGTTGGACACAAATGTTTATTTTATACGTCAGTGATTCTAACATAATGTATATTGAGATAATTTTGTTACATTGCTAGTCTTAATACACAGCTCGGAAGCTTCAAAGTACCAGCTGTAGCAGTGCAGTCAAGTTAAGTTTTATGGTCCTCCTGTGACAAAGAAAGTACATAGAACACATGAAGAATACAGAATTAGAGATCAAAGAAATGTGATTACATACTTGAGACTGTTACCAAAATGCATATTGGTATCAATAAATTTAAAACTTTTTTCTTTAAGTTACATCTCTGGTAAACTATTTATGATGATTGAAATCCAAAAATCCATCTTCTCTTACAGTCAGCAGTATAACATTCAAGAGCTGATAACGAAAAACAGGAAATGAAACTACACAAATGGGTTCTGTTACTATAAACTTTTCTCTAGCACGTGCTTATTTACCTCTTAAAGACTGAAGCTTATGTAAATAATATTTTAAATTTTTTCCTACCTTGAAGAAAACAACTTCATATGTATTACATATTTCAGAACATTTGGAAAGAAACTGGATAAATAGAGATGACATTGCAAAACAGGAATCCATGAGCACACTGCTAGGAGATTTTATTACCAGAACCGCATATTTCACCCACACCCCACTTCTGTGGTAAACAATACTTCTTGGCATAGTAGTTCATGTGTCAGCTGATACTACATGACAGTTAATGAAAGAATTGACATGGTTTGTGACAATAATGATTAGCAGCCTGCTCCCCCAACATACTTATACTGCGTAGCCTATAGATGGTGGCATCTGGTGGGAAAGAGGAAGAATGCTGTTAGGCAGGTGGATGTGGAAAATCTATGTCAGATTCTTCTGTGAATTCAAGTGTGTTATTGCATATGTGAAGAACTACTGAGCATTGTCACTGGCATAGAGTGGATATGATCAAATTTACATCAGAGCAAGGAGTGAATTGTAGATGTCATACTTACAGTAACTCTTCAGAATATGGCTAATGAAAGTTCTGGGATGGGGAGGTTACACTTAGTATTGAGTTCTTTAAGGATATTTCATCAGTGTAAGGAAATAAAAACTAAAAATATTAAACATCACATTGTGAATCAGTGTTTCTTCACATATATCATGTACTGTTATTAAATATATAAAAGTGTGTTGTAGGAATAATTAATTAATCTTGATGAATTTACTAATTCACAGAAATAAATTGAATCTTTGTTATTAGACAGTTTTTAGTACAATGCAGATTGTCAGTTTTGGTATATTTGTTTAATGAATCTGGTAATATATACATACAAAATATATTTTTTAATTTAAAACTTCTCAGTGTGCACACTCGTCTGCCCCTCACATGTGTATTTGCACTGAAGTTTCTTCTTTTTTGCATTTTATATTTGCATGGAATTTAATATTGACAGGCTGTCGTAATTACTGCAATGCTTCTTTAACATGAGAAGAATGAGAATGGTATTACAGTTCAAAATATATCACGGGCTCACTTATGAAAGCAGTAAGAATAATATAGTATTCATAAACTGTGACATCTTGTCAACTTCTGTTTAGTTTCTGCTTTCCTATCATACAACTAATAGAGATCAGTGAAAGATATGTCATTTACATCATATTTATGCAACTGGTATCTGCATCTCTTAAAGCAATTATTGTGTTTCTGGACATTACCCATCAATCCTGTTTTTATTTAAAAAACATTTCAGAGACTGGATTCTGTCTCCATCTTCAAGTGAAACCTACTCAGTTGGGCCCAATTGATAGAGCTAGTCCCTATCTCTGGAAAGGCCCACATAGAAATTTGGTAAAAAAGAAAATGAAGTTCTAAAAGTTGCTGAAAGATCTAATGCTATTTTCCAATATCTTTTGTCTTCAAGGTGGACATTTCCCAGGAAGTTTGCTTATAAAATTTTTATATTTGTCATCCCTAATCAATCATAGCCACCTGTATTTCACTATCCTAAAACAATAGTTGACCTGCATAAATTAGGAAGTTTCTTTTTATGTAAGAGTTCTTGCAGTTTACAGTGGTACATTGTAATGACATTTTTTTTTTTTGTAAACCCATAATAATTAAACATACTCGTATGTTACTAGAAGCAAGTGAATGACAATATGGATTAAGAATAAATTTTCTATTTTTACTAAAAGTGATTGGTTTGTTTTTTGACAAATAACTCACTTGCATCCAGTTTCTCACAGCCAAGTACTGGTACAGTTTTGTTTAGAAAAGAAATTTGTATATGCAGTTTGCAGTAATTGAATATTCTATGTGTATAAGCTCTTACCAAGAACCCAAGCATGGTGAATAACAAATTATTAATTTAATTGATAAGTGTAGGCCATTACCAGTTGCAAAATATGCCTAACAGTTATTACATATACTTAAGTCATGATTGTATTATATGGAAGAACAGTTTGGCCTTAAATAGCTCTCATGAATAAATGTGTATTCAAGATGCATTTTCCAAGTGAAGTGTATTTTTTTTATTGCTAGTGGGGTGGGACTAAGTCCCTTGTACTGCAGCCACTTCTGGCCTATTGTACCAGCCCCAGATGATAGGTGAGGGTGATTGTGGAGCAATTGGTGGAATGAAGATTGGCAGGGGAAACCGAAGTACTCGGAGAAAACCTGCCCCAGTGCCACTTTGTCCACCACAAATCCCACTTGACTAGACCCGGGATCGAACCCAGGCCGCCACATTGGGAAGCCAGCGACTAACCGCTTGAGCTATGGCACAGCCCAAGTGAAGTGTAACTTTTATTATGATGTGAAAATCATGGTTAAAGTTGAAACTTCGAAGTAGACTCGAAAAGATTCTGAGTGTTGAAACTTCAGATGAACAAGTCTCAGGACTGATACGTTTCTGTTTTCTGAAGTAAGTAAAAAAAGAGAAGAAAATGTCTGCAGAAGTTATTCAATGAATAATAACAGGTAAGATTTAAGGTCATTTATAATTTACTTACCTCTTCAGTTTCTATAAATGGAAATCTCTATGTACTGGATTTAAAAAGGGAAATACAATATAATTACAATATATAAACTGATTCAATCTTAAGAATTATTCCTGTTATAATAAGTTCTTTTGATCTGATGGTACCAGTATAGCCAAAAGGCATAATTAATGAAAGTGATTTTTAAAAGTGGCTTGAGTTTGCATATGGATCTGTGGCAGTACTCAGGTGTGGCAAGGTGGGGACCATTACTTTTTAATAGAGCACTGTTCTTTTAAAAAAATGTTTATATGTCACTAAGAATGACGGAATAACAGAATATGAAATTTGGACAGTTTTAGGCATAGTTTTAATTTTGTATTTTCATTATGTTTTGCCAAAACACAACATTTTTACCTCTGACACCTTTTGTAGAAAAATACCCAATGCTGTTAAAACTTTTGATATGTATACTGGCGTGCCACCAAAAAGCCGGGCGATAAGACGTCTATTGATAGGCAACGGCTGCGATAAGAATGTATACTTCAGTGGAAACGAAATGCAAGCAGACCATTGCATAGGAATCGCCTAAACAACAACAAATGTGTTTCCCCGGAAATGAAAGTATATCTATGGAAATGAATACTACCAGCAGATAAAACCGAACCCTTAAACACGATGTTCCCTGGTCTGTCCGAGTGCATGCTGCAAGAGTCATTGTAGCTCCAACGAGTTTAAGTTTTGTATTTGACCTTAGAAGAGTAGAGTTGCTATTCGGCAAGACTAGAAGACACTTCATCCAGAATAAGGGGGAGAAAGTGTCATGACATTAAGGAGAAATATTCATTCAAATCCGGGAACCCACAAAATTTCTTGTCGTGTTGCCTAGCAAACACATGACAACTGGTGTTGTAAGTGGGATAGGCATGGATTCAGGAACAAGTTAGTGGACCATAATTACAAGGCCACAATGTATCTATGTACATGACTTCTGATAATGTCAGTACACTGATTCCTCTACAGCTCCTTCCAGTTCACTAACCATAATAATTCCCACACCTATCATGTAAAGAGTTAAAAGATATGAATAACATTTTCATACAGCACAAAAGTAATGCTACAATTTTAAATTAAAAGATTTCTGCCTTCTGGTATATGATCTTTTGGCTGGTAGAAAGTTACCATTGTTTTGGAGGAGTACCCTGCAGATGGAGGCAGCAAGCTCCTTTGAAACAGTAGTATCTTACTGCCAAACTGCATGGCATCGCATAAGAGGAGACGGTAATCTCTCATATTCACTGCTGTGAGAACTTAAAATCTCACAGTTTTAGGTGAGTCAGGTTGTGACTTGCCTGGCGAGTAGTCCCCCTTCTCCACCAGATTTGGAAGTCTGTTGCTGCATTAATGTGGAAGTAATCTTAAACTTTAGTAGCTTAATTAAGAAATCTATATATTATTCTGTCAGTTATAAATATGTATAAATTAAATTAAATATTTTATGTTCTTTTCTTCAATAGATGAAGGAACTGTAGGTGATGAATCAAGCTCTGACAACCGTCAAAAATCTGATGAACAACAAGAAGTGGGAGAAGAAGAGATACAAGAAGAGTCAGAGTCCCTCTTGGATGCCATTAACAAAATAACATTAATTAAATCTTGTTAACAGTGTCTACAGAGTAATTATTTATATGCACACTTACCTGATAGTTGCACAACAATTATGGAATATGAAGGCATCTATGTGAATGATTTAATGCTCTTGAAGACTGCAGCTTCAGTAGCCTTGCCTGGCTGAATTAAGTAAAATTTTGTGCCTACCCAGATGCTTTGCCTGTTGGGAATTGGATATTAAACCCAACTAGTTTGGCAGTAGTTGCAGGGAATAGTAAAACTCTTAATATTTAAAATACCAGTGTGTGGTATCTTTGAAATATGTAACAGGGTCACTAGAAGGAGATGCCTTTTATGTGAGGAGGTTACAAACAATACAAGAGCATTCTAAATTAGGTTGCACTTTAGAACAATCATATCTTCAAAACAATGGGACACTAATATGAAACAATGTCCCATCTTAACCATGGCTACAGCTGCAAAAATCCTTCCTTGAAGTTCATCAGGAGTTGTGGTAGGGGGGGCCACTACACTTGGTTCTTGATATGGCCTGACAGGAAAATATCTGGCACAGTCAGATGAAGTGACCAAAGGCACCAGTCTGTGAGCCTTGCTTGATCAATCTATGCACTGGGGAAGACTGTGTGAAGGTAGGCCCTTACCTCCATATGAAAATGTGATGGAACATTGCCTAGCTGATAGATGGCACTTGCCTCAAACAAATTAGCATCTTACTGTGGCTGAGGCACAAGAAATTCCATTTTACTTCAGAACTGTTGTCATTGCTCTATGTGACCAAGAGGAGAGCTGACCTCGTGAATGAAAGCTTCCCTTTTCTACCAGTACAGTCCACTTTCTTTCTTGTGTATAACTACTGATTTCAGAGATCTGCTTATTCGAAAGCACAGTATAGTATAGAAAGATCTTGTATAACACTAAAAATATCTTAATACACATCCCACTCTGAATTTAAAATATGACCATGTCAGAATGGTTATTCCAAGCAGTGTCTATGAAAATGTACCTGACACACTATATTTTTATTGCCTTTGAGCATGTGTACATAAATATCAAATGTTAGATTGCCATATTGTCCTGGATATTGTCTTGAAGGGGATAGATAGGATGTTCTTTAAGGAGACAAACTTATTTTAATGACATTAAATGTAATACATTTTAAAATAATGTATAGCTTTTAGATGTAATTTTCTGGGTATGCCTAATACATACCCAAATATAAAGGTAAATAAACAGTGGAAGTGCAAATTTATTGTGAGTTTTTACAAAATAAGCACAAATCAGTTAGGCATATCGTTTCAATAAATGTGGTCCACTGATCTTCCAAAATGGCTTCATTATGTCAGAATAAAATTGTTACACTTTCCAGATGTGCTTATTAATGTATTTCATAACCTCAATACACATTAAAATCAAGGAACACCCAGAATATGCATTATCAGCAACACTCATTCACCCTCCAGTGAATATTTACACCAATCTGTAAACTTTCCTCTGGCTCATACAGTTATTGTCATACTGAAATATTATTGCATAAGTGTATTAGTTTTCACACCTGACTGCAAAGATTTGATTACACAGTGTTGGCCTTTGGTGCAATGTGGTATTGGAGCAGACATTTTAAGGGTGTTGCCATATTAACAGTGCTCAGAAAATAGTGTGATACAAGTTGGTTCAAAGGGGAAAGTTTAAGCTTCATATACATGTATGCATTTAATATGTTATCATGTAGAGGATAGGCTTGTATAAAAGATACTTCTTGTACAGTGGTCTCTTACATGATAAGGGCAGTTATGTTTTTTATACTCAAAACATTTCTGTGTTGAAAAATGATGTGAATATTTCAGTGGTGTCTGTGGTAGTGATTTCAGAACTTCTACATATGATTCAATGCTTTTTAAAATTAAGCTTTTGTACATAAGAATACTTTAAACAGTGAGCAATACTTGAACTTATTTTTACTATAGTATGTTATATGTGGGTAAGATTTTTGCTTAGAATTGTTAAAGCTGTACCTAATTTTATTGTAAGTATAAAATTTAGTCTGAGTCTGAAATGAACTTTTTGATGCAGTACTTATCAAATTTCTTGCACATGGTCCTCTGCTTAGCAAATATATAAATATGTTACTGCATAAAATTCCATCATTGTTGTAAATAATACCTCTACAAATACTCTGAATATCAAAACTGCTTACATCACAAGTTGTTGTAATGACTATTAATATGCATATACATATAATTGTGTTAAGAATTATTGCAGTATGAAATGAGATTACTCTGTTGTGTCCTATATTAATGAATGACTGTAAAGTGGCAATAACTATTTGAAACTTGATTTCTCTAGGCCTGTATACAAGTAGCTCAATGTTGATTTAAGAGTAGGGTAAATATTTTTATTTTTATGCAGTCTTTGCAAAAAGTGCATAATGTATGCATAATGGGGAGATAGTGCCTGTGCTCCAGTACTACTTTATGAATGTAGGTATATATCAGTTGAACATAGCCTCTAGTTTACATGAAACTGAAATCAAACTTTGTTCATTTGCTAAGAAAAATTTGATTGTCTCACAAAAAGACCAGAATATATCATGAAGTACCATGCTATACCTCATTAAAGTTTACAACTTTTATATGAAACACGTTTTAGTGCAATGAATATGTAATGAAATACAAAGAAAAAATATAAAATATGACTGTGGAATGTGATATCTATAGTGAGAATTGTTTTGCAGTATATCTGTATACAAAAAATGAACATCAATTCAAATGAAATATGCCTGGGGGGGTATACTTTCAACTATTTGATGTTACTTGCAATTCCTGCATTTGCCTGAAGGAATTAAGAAAACAAATTGCTGAGAATAATTTATCTTTACAGAAACACATGGAATGCTGTAAATGTACTTAAAAGATGAAGAACATAAGTTCTTTTTCTTCTTCAGCTACTGGATATAGGAAATATACCCATTAATTTTCAAAAGATATGAATTATGAGACATCGTCATTTTCATACTTGGGACATCCTCCATTTTTACAAAGGCATTTACATTGCATGAAAAATGATGACTGAGGTCTTGTTATACATGCTTAAATTTTTGATCTATATTTGTACTTTCATAGTTTGGAACGCAGAAATTATAGATTATCAGTGTGAACAATTTGAGAATAACTGCTATATAGGCTTGGTGCTGGAATAAACAATTCATTTCCTAATGGAGATGTCAGACAATAAGAAAAATGGCCAAGCAGTTCGGCTCAAGCAGTAACACTACTGGTTTGTGTTCAGGAGATGCCCAGATCATATCATCCCTATGGAATGTACTGTTATGACTGATGTTTCTTATGGTTTTACTCAGTCCCTCCAGACAAATTCCAACGTAGTACCTCAAATGGGACAGGTCCTGTATTTTCTTTTACATCCTTTCCAATTCATAATTTGCTAATCATTCTCCCATGTGTTGCTGTATAGTCTGAGCTACTGACAGCATTGTTAAATAAGTAAATAAATAAAGATTAAGGCTGGTAACAGTTTCTGAGATCTCTATATTATTTATACAAGTTCTCTGTCTCTGAGAGGAGTGTGCTTGCACGTGAAACCCTTGTAATTGATTATGTTGCACATGTGGTCACAGGAAGTTTGATCTGAACTTACACAGCGCTCAAAGATCCATTTTGCATTTTATTATTTCTTTAGATTTACACAAACAATAACATAGAAACCTATTCTTTCTGTGATAGTACAATAGAAGGGAAGAAGTGAAGAAATGAGTTTGGTTATAAGGCATGTATCACTTTGGTTTAGGTTAGGCTAACTTTGGTGTTATTAGAGTTCAGTGAATAGAAAGTGCCCTTCTTCCTTCTTTTTCTCTTTAATATCTCAATTCTCAGCACAGTTAATTTGTTTGTGACCCAAACACAAACCTTCAGCTTTCCAAGATGAGTATTATCAACTTATATAAAAGTAGGAATGTTTTTTTTTTTTAAGGGAGAATCTTAGGAAGGGGTAATGTTGCATTTCTAGTCATGACCCAGGGAATGGTGCACTTTCATGTTTTAATGATTTAAATATAATCAAATCCCCAACAAATCAATTAATGCATCACAATCACTATGTTCATCATAGGACTCTAAAATGGTAACTATTTCACAAACATTTTTAGTAGTTTCTGCCTGATAATCATTGCAGTAGATACTCATGGCTAACTTTGTTTTACTGCATAAATGGAAAATCCATGTTGTCTACAGTCACTCATTTGCTCTGTAGCATGATGTTTATCATGTTATAATTATATGGTCATTGTGTATCTTGATCACAGTGATTCTGGAAGAGGATCAAATATTTATCTCTCTGTTTAACATACAGAAAGTTGATTCTAAAGGCTTCTGATGATGGTGGGTGACACACAGAATTATTGGGTTTTTGGACTTTTTCCATCATCTGAAATTCTAGGTAACAGAGGACACAAGATTGAGATTAGCTTTTTCTAAGGGGCTGAAATGAGTAGGTGTCTTCCTGTCTCACCTGAAGATGGAAATAGATCCAATTTCTGAAACGTCATGTCCTGTATTACCTAGAATTCTGGATGATGGGAAAAGTCCAAAAACCCAGTAATACAGAAAGTTGTTTTATACAGTTTTCACCCTACAGACAAGTATGTAATTAGCTCAGAAGGAAATATTTTAATTTTTACTAGAACCATTTCGATAACAGAGAGAGGAGTATACATGATGAATGCAAACTTTATAAAATTCAGGGCCTGTACAGAATGTACCATGCAATGCAACCTAGCATGAATGTGTTAATTTTTGATGTTAATATTTCAATCAAAAAGTTTTTGTTTTACTGAAAGTTGGTATGTGACTTCTTTTCATGAAAATTAACATGTGTGATTGTATTATTATTTGTATATAAGAAACTGGTGCATAGTCATGATAGTGACTTCTGCGGAAGAATATTCACCATAGTTTATACTAAATTCAATTTTGAAAGAAGTTTATTTTAGATTACTATAAAATGGATGGGTAAAATGGTGGAGACTCCAAGAATTTGTATTTATGTGATGTAACAAGAGCTTAATTTGTAAGGTAAGTGATATTAGAGCCTTATTGTAACATAACGAAAATCTCCACACGTGCATACAGGACTGGTGCAAACTGGAATGCCCCCTCCCCAAAGTTAGAAACTGATTGTTTATTTTCAGCTTTGTCACAATAACAAGAAATATCCAGACAGTGGGAAATAAACTACCATTGAAGTTGAATTCTTAAAATTGTTTTAATTTCAATTTTTGTATAACGTGTTTAGATTCTTCCAATTAATGACAATGATATGAAGAAAATATTGGCAGAAACTGCCATTTAGCCATAGCAAAAATTAAAGAGGAATTTGTAAAATATGCCACTCCAGATGTACTCTTATTTTCATATGTGCTGTAGTGCCAGTCCTCTGTGCATGACAGAGTGGATAAGAATGTAAATGTAGGAAGACTGATTGATTGATTGATTGATTGATTGATTTAACTGACTGGTGCAGGTTTAGAAATGTTCTACTCTTTGAGGTTCAGTGGAATCAGTATGGTTTAAATATGCGAAATACTTTATGCAAGAATTGGGGAAGGGATGTTATGTTGAGTTTTGTCATGATCTAGATACTGAATGTAGTAACTCTGTTGAAGTGATGAGTTGTACATGCAGTGGTATCCCCATTTAATGTTCCTCAGTTTAACTTTCAGTTTCATTGCTTCTGGGTCAGTTTTAAATTTCTGCCATTTAAGATTTTTCTCAATTTAGTGTACAGTTCCAGTGCTCCCCAGAGAAATGTTAAATGGAGGTTTCACTGTAATTGTTTTATACTTAAAAATAAGAGATAAGGGATAAGGATGAGAGAGAACTGTCTTGTAGTCACTGAAATATGCTGTTCTTTTGTACTAATATGAAAATTAAGAAATATAACCTAAGCATAAATGTAACCTAACATATCATAAGCAGAAGTTGAACTGTTCTATTTTATTTGGATATAATACTGGGAAGCATGAAGCTAATCTAAATATTATTTAAAAATTCAGTCTTTCAGAAAGCACACTGTGTTTTGAATACAAATTTGAACAGATTGATGCTGTTTATTCTAATAATCATTTGAAAACTCATAATATACTCTATGAGCAAAATGTGTTGTTTTCATTGTTACAGTGGATGGTACATATAGTTACCACTGTTCTGTAAAATATTAAGTCATAGTTTATATATGTTTTCTGTACAGAGAAGGACTAAACCTCCAGGATCCATTCCAGGACTCAAAGTTGCTTATCATCTCAGTCCTGGTGTTCCAACATCTCTCCTCCTGTTAGGTGTTTAATAACATGGGAAATTAAGGAATTGTTAACTTTTATGTGGAATGTTTCAGTGTATTGAACTTTAAAATTATGTTAGTGTGGAACATATTGGAAATCACATAGTTCAGTTTTTGTGAAGTGTTTATTAAATTAACAATAAGAATTCTGTTTTGTGGGATAAGATACCCTGTAGTCTGTTGATAGTAAACCAATGTTGTGGAGAAATATGTTGCTTAAAATTGATCATTTAGAATTAACTTGAGAAAGTGTGAACTGGACTGAAGTATCTTAGGTAAGGTTTTGAAGGTAGGCTTTGTGCGCTTGGTAATGAATTGTTGGGTGATTCCATAAAATCAAGGAATTTCTTGACCAGTTAAGCAACTATGAAGAAAGACTCTATAATTAGGAGTTTTTTTACATAAACTGGATATACTTGGCATCAGTAATTATAAGAGTCAAAATAAAAATATTCTGGAAGTGTTTTCCCTTTGTGTGGAGTTCCAAATCCAGGTCTCAGTGCTTCACTGTTACTGTTTGTACATAAGGTTATTGTAAGTTCCCACAGCAGAGTAGAGTTTGTGTTTGCAGAATATAAGTTGCTTAGTCTGATATACTGATGATGGATATTATGAAGAAACAACACATGTTTGCTGTTGAGAGTAAGAGTTACTTAAATATGCATATTTTACAAAATTGTTCTAAATTAATGTGTTGATTATTTTATCTTATTCTTGTTCATGCAGTCATTTACTTCATATATTAAAATATTTCCATTAACTTTTATATTTGTAATGAATGCAGTATAAGACAAATGACTGACTTAATAATCAGGGCACAGAATTAACCTGCCTCTTCAGAGGTGGGTAGAAATGTTGATGGTAAAAACCAGAATGTACAGAATAACAAGTAGATAAATTAATTAATCCAGTCCCAGTCTATGCCCTTTTATCTATTAATATTCAGTACTCTATAGTCATATTTTATTATAAAACTTTAAATCTAAATATAATGTAATAGTTTACAATATCTCTGGAATTTCTGTTAACATAAATGTTATATCAAGACTGAAAACACTACATGAGTTATACAGAGACACTGTAAATGTTTCATTTAATTCTGAGCCCTGCTAGCAAATGTATGTGAGTGAATATTGTTGTTTTGTCAAGTGTAAGTTTTGTTGGATTTATATGTACATACTACAAAATATGATATTCTTTACAAAGTGAAAGAAAGGTTACTTGATGTTGAAATCATATCTGTCCATCCATCATTGATGCTATATCAGTGCCTAAATTGTTGGACAGATATTTTAAAAATATGAAAGTTGAGATTTTAATGAAATGTTGTCAAGACATTCTGATTTTCAATTGTATAGATCCACAACAAAGCCCACTTTACATAAGGTCATAAATGAACTCTTCGTACATATCATAAACCATTAATAACATTTTGGTTGCTGTTGGATATGATAAATGTATGCATAACCTGAGTTTGTCATTCTAATATTTAACCATATTGACTGATTACAACACCTGCTTTACATAAGATCATAAATGAACTTCTTCATGCATACGAGGGGGGACCCAAAAATAATCGGAAACGACCTGTTGCACACGCATGCTTTGTAGTTACGAGTTGT